GAGAGAGAGAGAGAGAGAGAGAGAGAGAGAGAGAGAGAGAGAGAGAGAGAGAGAGAGAGAGAGAGAGTTGTGTAGCGGTCATGTCAATCGTCTTAGATCATTCCTTATTCAACAGAAGCTCTGAAGGACTGTTCGTTTTCTGCACCCTCTCTCCCTCCCTCCCTTTCTCATCCCTCTATCAGAGGTACAACCCTGAAGAGATAGAGAGTTCTGTTCACACTCGGCCCTAAGAGAGTGTGTGTGTATATGTGAGAGAAAGAGATAGGGAGAGAAAGAGAGAGAGAAGGGAATATCAATGACATCATATTTTTGTTGGCTCAGAGTTAACCTTCTTCTTTTCACCATTTATGAGGGAATCACTCCTCTGATGTTTGTGCAGTAGTTGATTTTATTTCTTTGTATTCCTGCTGGTCCACTGGAGCTTTCAACGAAACCTGCAAGTAGAAGCTGTAATTTTTTTTTCACCTTTGAAAAACACAGGTCCTTATGGGCCTCGCTCCATATCTATTCTGGGGAGCATCAGTCCAGTTCCTATTCCACCGGCAAGTCAGAATTGAAATAAGAACACCCTTACGCTTCCTGCCGCCTCTTAACAACATTGATTGCTCCAGCATTGTGGAGGATTGACTATCAGCTTGCGAAGCATTTAGCTTTCCTCTCAGGTCTAGAACTGTCTAAATCTGTTGTATTTATCGTGGGAGCAAGAAAGGGATAAACGATGAGGACAACCGCTATACAGAACGTGACTTTACAACAACCGCTATACAGAACGTGATTTTACAGTGCCTTTGCACGTAGCCTGTCCTTCGGAACATTCGTTAAAATTTGAACGATGCAAAGAAGATTAAATGGCCCCTGCACAAGGATGACACACATAAATCGAGAATTCACGTAGCCTGTAGTGACTCTTGTCCAACTGCAGGTTGGAACATCTGCCTTCTCGTGCCGGCTTCTGAGTTGTGCCTGTCTTTCCATCTTAAATTATTCTACACAAAAAAAACAAACTAAACAACTTTTGCCTCAGGGTCACATCGAAATTCTTAAAAAAAAAAAACAAACTTTTTTTTCCCCTCGGTCGGGCAAGTGACTTCGGGCCACTCTGGTAGCCTTTGCGGGCGTAGCTGCGGTGACTTTAGTTTGTTCGTAATTGACTCCTTTGTGCTTGTCGATTATAAGTCTTTTTTTTTTTGTAAAACCCGAAATGCAAAAACAGAGCGGAATATTGTTCCATGCAGACCGAGTTGCAAATAGCTAACTAACAATAATTGTTCCATGCAGACCTAGTGGCAAATAGCTAACTAACAATAAATCCGTGTCTTCTTTTCCTTGTTCCATATACAGTGGACCGTTTCCACTTCAAGAAGAACCATATTGGACACTGGTGCAAAAGCAATGTCAATCCTACAAAATACAAAGAGTTGACTGATGCCAACATGTCCATTTGTGAGCAAAGGTTCAAATGGTTCGCCAAGTTCAAGCACATTACGAGGTATGCAAATTAGACTCCTACCCATTCTCACTTTTTTCTATTCCATCCCCAAACTTCTTGACAGACTGGGATTCCTATTCCATCCTCCAACTTCTTGACAGACTGGGAGAAAGACAATGTGTAAGTGTGTGTGTGTGTGTGTGAGAGAGAGAGAGAGAGAGAGAGAGAAGAAAGTGAGTTGTGATATGTGTTTTACAGATCACGAACTTTTGCTTATTGTTAGCAATGCGCCAATGTGAATTGTCTTTTACCAAATAGCTAACTCATGATCTGTTTTTCTCCGTACAAATTATTGCAGGAAAATGAACAAGGATAGATTCAATTTCTTGCTCCTTGTAATATGCCAAATAGACCACGAGAAAAAAAGCAACAACAATTTTCAAAAGATTAAAGATCGGCGACCATTCAAAAGACTAAAGCTTCCGCTTTCTTCATAAACTCTTTGGTAAGTTCTGCAAAGCCTCTCTCTCTGTCTTCTTGTCTGCCTGTCTCAGATCAAACTCTCGCTATCCCTCTCACTCATTTTATTTTTCTGTCTCTCGATCTCGATCTCGATCTAACTCTCTCTCTCTCTCTCTCTCTCTCTCTCTCTCTCTCTCTCTCTGCCTTAGCTAAATTTGCTAAGTTCTCCGGGAGTCTCTGGAGAGATGAGCTCTCCAGACTGTACCCTGGAGTCGTAAGATATTTGCCCTTTCACTGATGGTGTGGAGTAGGGTGTGGCAGTATGCATGGCAGAACATGGGCTGTGTATCAGTTTTTGTCCCTTGAGGGTTAACAAGCGGGCTCGTAAGGGGAGTTTTGTCGACAAGCAGCCGAACCGAGAAGGGGTGGGGTCAGCCCGCCGAGTAGTTGAAAGTTTTAGCTTGTTTTTTTCTCTCGTGCATTGTACTTCGTTTTTCGGTTCTTTTTTTTTTTTTTTTTTCAATGGGCTTTTCTTTTCTTTTCGTTTTCTCATTTTTGCGCTGTTTCCTTTAAGGAGCTGTACACTATTAGGATGTCCCAAGGTGGCCGGAAGACCGCGAACAGTTTTGAAAATCGGCGCTGGGTTTCTCAGACCCTGTATATGTCGTAATCGATCTCGAACCAGTAGCGTACCGAAGGAAGTGCAAGTAACCATAGTATGTGGCGCTGGGTTTTCCAGTCCTGAAGGCGCCTCCGCCATAGCAGGCGCTTTGAGGGTAGCCGGATTTGGAAAGAGAACGTAGACCGGGAATGAGGAAGGAAGAGGTTGGCGCCGGAAAGGAAGATGGAAGCGACAGGAGGCAGAAAGGGGGAGCGGGGAGGGTCTGGGTTGCAGGGCGCGGGAGCACATACCGGCCAATGGGAGTAAGGGGAAGGGATCGTGATCTGTACGTAGTAAAGAGTGAAGTGACGGACATGGGGAAGGTGGGGATAGGATAGTGAAGACACGTACAGGGCAGTCTGCAAGAACTATATAAAGGAGGAGGAGCACGTATGTATACACACTAGTACGAGATTGTACTCTCTGGGAAGCCCCCTGAAGAGTCTGCCGTGTACTTTGGCAGCGAAACTCGTCGGGGCAACGCGTACTATGCTTCATGGTGATTTTTCGTGGGAATGAGTACAAACTTTTTATTGCGTGTGAGATATCGGGCTGTTTTCCTCCTTTTATTTCTTCTTCGACTTCATCTTCGTCTTCGTCTTTCTTCTTCTGATTCTTCTTTTTCTTCTCCGTATGGACCGCCTTCTGTGATTCTCTATTAGCGTGGTAACCGGCGTGTTCGGACATTAGCTCGGTGGCTACGGTGAAGGAGGAGGAGGAGGAGGAGGGGGGGGGGGGGGAAGGAACCGTGTATGGAGCACTGAGATCTCTGTTGAAGACAAGAAGATCTGAAGGGCTGAAGTATCGAAACCGAGTCGTGCGCAACGGGTGAAAGTCCGGAATCTACGGCAATAACACGGATGACTCGAGGAAGGTATGATACCGGAGGTTAGACGATCCTGAGCTCACTGCGTTAAGGGCGTGATCGTCCCGAGACGATCTATGCGCAGGAATGGTAAGATATTCGGTGAGCACGCTGGCTCGAGCCGGGAGTTATAACCGGTATGTTATGTGTCCTTGCGGTGATTCGAGGAAGTAGTTGGAAGGCTGGAAGTACGGGGTGGCATTTTGAACTGTGCGTGTCTTTCAGGTGGGTGGTATAACGAGGAAAGGGAGGGATGTCGAGTAGGAGTTTTCGCGATCTAGAACTAGAACGGCAATTTTTAGAGGTGCAGAAGATTATTGAAGAAAACTTAACCCCGTTGATTTTTGTAGCGTTGCAGTTTAGGGACGAGAGTACTAAGGAAGAACTGATTTACGAAATTGAATCTGTATTAGGGCGCGTTCATAGTAGTGGGTGCTTGATTAGGAACCAACGGTGGAGGAGGAGGAGGCTGGAAAGGAGGCTGGAAAGGAGAAATCAAAGGAGGTGAGCAATGGCGAATGTGCCGTTGGGAGCTTCACCAGTGGCCGGATACGGAGTACCACCGCCTGTGGCGCAGAACGGTAGCCAGGCGGGYGAGATAGTGTGCTATATATGTGGCAAATCGGGACATTACGCGAGGAATTGCTGGGCAGCAGGGAGAGGACGACCGCCCCAGCAGTATCAGGTTCCGCCGGTTACGATGGCAGGAGATGACGAAACTAGCGAAATGAAAGCGTATTTTCGGAATAAGATTCAGAAGCAAAAGGCTGAAGAGGAGAGGAGAACGAAGGAGGAGGAGGAGAGGAGAAGGAGGGAGGACGAGGAAAGGAGGGAAGCGGATAGATTGAGAGAAGCTGAGGCAAGAGAGGCGAGACTGGAAGCCAATCTTCTGCGTCTGATGAGTCAGCAGGGGAAACCTTCAGCGAGTAATGCTCCACCATTTGGGAAGAAGAAATCACCAAATACCAAAGCTCGGATGTTGAGAGAAATCCGGAGCTATCTAGATGAATCAGAAGATGAGAGTGAGGAGGTGAAAGAAGAGGCGGGAAGGTTGATAGATGCCATTGAGAGACGGAAAGGGAAGGGGTTAGCGGGGAGAGGCGTGTGTCCAATGTCAGGATGAAATCTACTAAGGCTTCACCTATCCTAGTGGATGACCTTCCGAATGACATTCATACTCCCCCCGTGAGGAGGGTGAGGGAAGATCGGGTGGCGACCGCGTGGCGACTAGTGGAGAAGTATTGGAATACGCGTTAGAACTGCACCAGAAGCTATCTGCGAAGAAGGTTCCAGAACTCCGCAAGATTTGCAATGAAGAAGGCGTCGAGTGGACGAAGAAAGACCTGGCGGTGAATGAGTTAGTAAGATGCAGGACAAGATTGGCGTATGGGGAATGCAGCRACAATGCCCATTTGTCTGACAGGTAAGGATGATCATGGATCACCTTGAGAAGCTTAGGGGGCTGATGTTTGATGAGGGAAGAAGGGGAGGTCAAAGTAAGGCTGGGTTAGACGTCGGCATTGAGGATGAGATCCTAAGACGTTTTCTTTTGATSGTGATTGATGGCTACTACCCTTGGGYGAAGAAGTGGGTGAAGTTGATAGATGGGGAAAAGGGAGGATTGCCCACAAGAGAAAAAGGCGTGTATGTGCTAGTAAGTCCCTGGTGCAGATACTTCTACATTGGATGCACCAAGAGGACGTATATTATCCGATGGAATGAGCACGTGAATTTTGCGAGTTCCGGGAAGCTTGGGAACGCGCCTAAGCTGCACGTGTGGTTGAAGGTATTTGGGTGCGAGAATTATCTGCTATTACCACTAGTCTCARGCRTTGGYGACTCGTTGGTTGTGGAGAAGTCGTTGATTAAGCGGTTCTCACCAGCTCTGAATACCCAACATAGATCTGACCAGGGGAGGAAGGGGAGACAAAGAAAAGGGAAGAGGGAGAGAGGGAAGAGGGGTACGGATGCCGGAATTGGAAGGATTATCACTTTTAACGAGGGTTCATCTATCATCGATCTATTGAAGGATTTACGTGGGTCGGTGGCACCARTACACGTGTCCRCGTCAGGAGGTGAAAYGTGGATAGACAGGTGGAAGGTAGTGAAGGGCAAGGTTGGGGAGAGCATCGTTAGTGTACGGGGGAAGGATAAGTGGTTGAAAGACTGTAAGCAAGAATTTGAAGATGGGGGAGAGTTTGTTATAATCCGGATCAGAGTGACGTCGTCGGCGATTGAGCATCGCAGAAATGTGCTGCGGGATATGCTGAGGCAACCATGGAGGATTAGGACGCTATATAAGAAGAAAGCCAGGGAGCTTTTGGCTCTGTATAAGACTGCAGCGACATTCGGGAGGAAGGTCTCGAGGTATCAACTGAAGACGGGAGAGAGGTTCGGAGGAGACCAATCGTAAGGGTACCGTACTCTACTAATGTGTGCTCGTCGACGATTATGGAGTTAGCAGCGAAGGCTGTTGGAAGCTGTATCCAGGATCCACATCTGCGGGTGTATGTGACTCATAGAACGAGGGTGGTGTATAAGAAGCATCTGACGGTGGGACAGATCATACACAGTCATCGGTTGAGTGCAGAGGCATCAGAGGCGGTATGCGTGTGTGCAGAAAGCAGATGGGATAGAACACAGGGTCACGTGAAAGTAAGATTGGATGATATTCCAGATGCACCGAACTTCGTGAAGAATTCGAAGAATATTACGTGTCGCGATATCGTGACGAGTGATGTACTAGCTGACAGTATCAGAGAGACAGCCAAGCCCTGGAGTAAGGGAAAAGGTGTGTGGATAGATAGAGTGAAGGTCGACGCATGTCTGAAGTACGTGAGGAGGAGTGAGCATCGGGATATGACCGTGTTGGAGGTGAGGAGGTAGGCCAGCAGCATTCAAAGGTTGGTAGCTGTTCCGATTGACAGGAATCCTGGAGCTACTTTGATTATTAGTCCGGTTTTGTATTTACATGCTTGCAAGATGACATTTAACTGGAATCCTGGTTTCCTACCTGTTGAGACGACAGAAGAAGATGTAGTTAAGGAAATGAAGAGGAAATATGAGAGGGCAGGACTGCGATCTATTGCAGTATGGGGGAAGGCAGGCGAAATCGGGAAAGGGTATGTGTTGCCGAAAGATAAGGATGTCAACCGGTGGAGGCCGATTTCACCTGCCACCAAGGATCCTGCAAGGCTGGCAGGTTCAAGGATAGGGAGGGTGGTTAGGTTCATGCTGTTTAGTATGATGAATGACAGGCACTTCGATTTGCGATCGACCGATGATCTGCGAAAGCGGTGAGGGGAGATTCAGGAGGAGCTGGCAGAAGGAGGAGATGGGATTGTGGCGAGAAGTTATGATATAAAAGACATGTTTTCAAAACTGTCACATGGCAGCATTATCGCGGTTAGATGGGTGAGCGATGTACATCAGCAGAAGGGAATGGTTGGCGTGAGAGTAAGTCAGAGAGGAAGGATGTGCATGATGGCTAGAAACAATTGGAAGACTGAGGGGTTTGTTCTCTTAAATTTTCGGTTGATAGTAGCAGCAGTCACTTTCGAGCTTACTAATACGTACGTCAAATGTGCGGGGCAGATTTTGAAGCAAGAGTTTGGGATTCCCATGGGTAGGAACTCAAGCCCTGCACTCGCATGTTTAGTATGTGCCCGAGCAGAAGCGGAATTTTTATGCAGTCTTGGGAGGGAAGCGAGGTTCGTGAGAGGGATAAGGATCATTGATGATGTGGCGGTGTTCATTGGCATCGAGGGAGGGGGTAGAGGGACATGTGGCCGGGCAGAAAGGTTGTTCATGAGGTTTGAGGAATGCTACGATGATAGTCTGATTCTGGTAAGAAAAGATGGAGGGAATTGCTTTGAATTTTTGGGAGCCAAGGTGATGATTGAATCCACAGCGAAGACCGTCATCCATGTGTTTCCAAAGACCCGGAATCAGCAGTACTTGGCGGACCATGGACGGCTGAGGATTCAGTCCATGCAAGACTACGAGTCGTATTCGAAGAAATCTACGAAGAAGATGACACTGTTCAATAGCATGATCCGGGCTATGAGGTTGTCCACATCTGACGAAGCAACCATCGCTCACAGCTGTTATGATTGCAGCACGCCGGTGTGGAGTAGGGTGTGGCAGTATGCATGGCAGAACATGGGCTGTGTATCAGTTTTTGTCCCCCGAGGGTTAATAAGCGGGCTCGTAAGGGGAGTTTTGTTGACAAGCAGCCAAACCGAGAAGGGGTGGGGTCAGCCCGGCGAGTAGTCAAAAGTTTTAGCTTGTTTTTTTCTCTCGTGCATTGTACTTCGTTTTTCGGTTCTTTTTTCTTTTTTCTTTTTCAATGGGCTTTTCTTTTCTTTTCGTTTTCTCATTTTTGCGCTGTTTCCTTTAAGGAGCTGTACACTATTAGGATGTCCCAAGGTGGCCGGGAGACCGCGAACAGTTTTGAAAATCAGCGCTGGGTTTCTCAGACCCTGTATATGTCGTAATCGATCTCGAACCAGTAGCGTACCGGAGGAGGAGTAACCATAGTATGTGGCGCTGGGTTTTCCAGTCCTGAAGGCGCCTCCGCCATAGCAGGCGCTTTGAGGGTAGCCGGATTTGGAAAGAGAACGTAGACCAAGAACGAGGAAGGAAAAGGTTGGCGTCGGAAAGGAAGATGGAAGCGACAGGAGGCAGAAAGGGGGAGCGGGGAGGGTCTGGATTGCAGGGCGTGGGAGCACATACCGGCCAATGGGAGTAAGGGGAAGGGATCGTGATCTGTACGTAGTAAAGAGTGAAGTGATGAACATGGCGAAGGTGGGGATAGGATAGTGAAGACACGTACAGGGCAGTCTGCAAGAACTGTATAAAGGAGGAGGAGCACGTATCTATACACACTAGTACGAGATTTGTACTCTCTGGGAAGCCCCCTGAAGAGTCTGCCGTGCACGCTGGCAGCGAAACACGTCGGGGCAACGCGTACTATGCTTCATGGTGATTTTTCGTGGGAATGAGTACAAACTTTTTATTGCGTGTGAGATATCGGGCTGTTTTCCTCCTTTTATTTCTTCTTCGACTTCATCTTCGTCTTCGTCTTTCTTCTTCTGATTCTTCTTTTTTTTCTCTGTATGGACCGCCTTCTGTGATTCTGTGATTATGTGATTCTCTCTCTCGCTCTGTTTCTGTCTCTCATCTCTTTTCTCTAGTTTCTCTTTGTCTCCCTCCCACTCTTACTTTTTTTCTTTTTTTATCTCGATCTCTATCTAATTCACTCTCACTTGAGGCAGTCGAAAGATATTGCATACTCTATTCCTGACTATGGAAAGCATTGGAGCATACTTTTCGAGCAATAGGGTCTGCAACGGATTGTCATATCTACCTTGAGTCCATCACTGCACCACGAACTAGATTGCTGGTTGTGTTCCTTGGATTATGGTGCCCAATGATGAGAAGGATCCAAAAAGGAATTAGATTGACAATTATGCAGCCAAACAACGACAAAGTTAATAATACCAAGGGGAAGGGGCCCATGCCAACTAGGCAAAGGGGAAACATTGATGCTGCTGGATTTTCGTTGTGTGCTCAGGTTGTGAAAACAGTTTGTACTTGGGTTGAAAGTACATGCGGCCAGCCAAGGCATCTTCAGGAGAGAGAGGAGGAGTCAGTGATCCCATTGCTATCTAGCTTCCTACTAGTGCCCGAGCATTTGCATTTGTTGACGGGGAACTCAGGAAATGGAGAGAATAACAGAGTGCACAAGAATGCCATGGACTGTGGAATGGATGCAACCGATGCATGTGCCGAGGTCATTCTCAACGGCTTGAGAGCACTTCCACTCTTATGTCTCTTGGCAATTAATATGGATCACTCGAGCTTGTTGATTGCAGTCGTCAATTTACTTCGCCGCAACTATTTCGGACTACTGATGTGGCTTCCAATTGTCTGCCGCCACTTTACGTTCTCGGACCTCATCAGCAGGCTCCTAACGGCATCACGTCAGCACTTGGTCCTGGGGATTTTTTTTGTCCATGACCCAGATGGAGAATGATGCTCAGCTTCTACATTATGTACACCAGAGTGAATAGCTTACACCAGAGTGAATAGCAGGTTCGTTCCATGGCATCAGGACAGAGGCAGGGTGGGAGGGAGGATGATAACTGATCATCTCGATTGTTGCATCTGTAATGGATATGCGAGAGGGCAAAGAGGAGTCTGTTGATGTTGTGAAGCATGCTCTCGACTTCGTTGGCACCCATTCCGACCTTCGCCTTTCAACCTTCCATGTTGTGCCTACAACGACTATTTGCATGGGTAATCACAAGCTCTCGAGGAAGGCTTTCTGCGTCAGCTGGATTCAAACGATGGGTTTGCACATCCATTGGTGCCTTAGGAAGAACACTGCAGGTTGTCTTGCTGCTTTGTGGAACCCCCGATGGATTCATGTATTACCTGGGTACCAGGATGCCTTTAAGGAAGGTTGTATACGGGTTCTTGCGCACATCAATTATGAGGTGATTCATCGAATGATTTGGCAATCTATCTTTATCGTCTGGCGCTGCTCATGCTAACAGTCGTGTACATGCTCGCACTGGAGCCCTTCTCTGCGATGAAAGCGAGAGGTCACTATGACTATTCACAGTTTACAGAGCTTCCCTCACCTGAAGTTCTTCATGCATTACATGTATTACATGATCAGACTATTCCTTCCGTGCAATCCTCATCAGCCCTTCCTTGGACACATTCCTCGTGTATTCAAGAGAAAGCATCCAACTTGCTAGAGGGTACAGGGATACTCTCCTTGCTCCAGTAATACACTCCTATGCAGTGATACTTGTCATCCAACTCTCTCTCTCTCTCTCTCTCTCTCTCTCTCTCTCTCTCTCTGTGTGTGTGTGTGTGTGTGTGTGTGTGCGTAACTGTCTCCATGCCTGAGAATAGGTGCAGTAGATGTAATGCAAGGCTGTGAGTCGTAGTGGTGAGAAGCTCATTGACTTCTGATGCAGATTTTTTTTTTTTTTTTTTTT